CGTCATCAAAATCTACTGTGCGGATCCCGGCACTTCTTGCATTCGATTCGCTTTCCCGCATTCGACAGCCACAATGGTCAACCAAAAGTTCGCGTGTTGTTTCAGCTTCTGCTTGAGGATTTCGTCCTTTCTTTTAATGGGTTTCGTAGAATACTGGTCGAATCAATACTCCTTGCAACCTTGAAGATAACCTAGGCGTTCCCACGTGTACTGGAGGAGAGCATTGAGGCGGGGATCGAACTAGGCTCATTGCATCCTGATCGACGGGATCACAAACCATTGCGCTATCTCCACCCCGATTTTAGTATTGGTGATTCTAAATACTCAAACTTATCCATTCCATCGTATGTCTCATGATTTCGTTGGAGGTGATTGAATGTATATCTGGCTCCCAGGATCGAATTTCTATTAACCTCGGCATTGGAATATGAATGTGTCGTTTTCTTGTTCAGCAATCGCAAGATTTTTAAATAGCATGCATTTACTTCCATAGAGAAACACAATGCAATACAACGCTAGCTGATGTTTCGGCAGTATCGCCTTCTTCAGAGCCTGGAAGGGTATACTGATATACAATCTACTAGGCCAAACGCTTCAATAACACTTACACAAAGACGAAAGACTCTTTGGTAACTACACGATCAACAACTTCTCGAAAAACCCACCGCTTTTTCGTGACTTCCAATGAGGAAGTTTAGAACAGCTGATTATAGTCGCATGTGGCTGATGGCTGCACCATCCCACATCAAAAATCAATGCGAACATACGGGGTCAGGTCTCGTATGACCTCCGGGCATTCGTCCCTGCTATTCATTGTAGGGTTTTTGGCATTTATCCAAAAAGCTTCAAGGAGTTTTCGCGCTGGTGTTTTGGATTCCTGTGCAAGGATATTGACTTTTACTTCAAAATCGTCTCCGCTATACTTTTGTATGCTATGCGTGCCTAGTGGGGTGCTTCGTCTTAGTTTTCGTTTGCCATCTAGGTGTTCTTTTATACGGATACACAAAGGTCTGTCCGTTTCGTCAATATATTCATCTCCGCAGTTCTTCAAACCCTCGATCACTACCGCGATAGAAAGTTTATCTCTAACCTTACAGCCGCACAAAAGTGTGGCATGCGGGAAATTAGAGAGCTAATAAACTCGAAAACATTAAGATTGTCTGTTAGTGATAAAGGAGGAGAATTCCTAGTTATTTCTCGCCAGGTGGATGTTGAGGTAACAGAGGAACATCTTAGTGATGCTACCCTCAATCGCCCATCCTCTGAAAAGGAATATAAAAGTCAATACCGAAAGCTAAACAATCAATGGGTCAGTGTGGCAAAGGATGCGGGTTTAAAATCATCGGTTATTTCTCACTTCAAAATCGATAAAACAACATGTCCCGTCCTATACCTACTTATTAAAACACATAAGTTGGTATCACCTGATGATTATGCGTCAACCAATCCGTCATCATTTAAGGTTAGACCGATCATCAGCTGTGTAGACGGGCCAACGGATAGAATAACCTGGTTTTTAAGCCTGATACTTACCCAGTTGCTTAACCACATTCCAGCTCACCTCACAAACACCCAAATGTTCCTAGAACGTCTACGTAACGCGTCTCCTAACAACACGTACGTGATGGAGTCTTTCGACGTTACCGCACTGTACACCAACGTATCGAATGACTCCGCAATGCAAGCCATCTTCGAACTTCTTGTTGAACATGAAGGAAGAATAAATATGCATGGCTTGTCCATCAAGCAGCTAATGACTCTCTTAAAGGAGTGCCTAAACTGCTCGATTTTCAGATGGTCTGGAAAATATTTCGCGCAAATAAGGGGGTTGGCAATGGGACAGCGACTGGCACCAAGCCTTGCCATTGTGTTTATGTCTAAGATAGATGCCTCTGTTCTCGATCTCCGGCCACTACTCTACTGCAGATACGTCGATGATTGTTTTGTCGTCTTCTCTACGCAGGAGGAGATGCACAAATGCTTTGAATTATTGAACGAGCAGTCTGAGTACATAAAGTTCACCCGGGAGAAACCGAGAAAAAAAATGGCTTCCGTTTTTGAACGTTCAAATAAACCTATCAAGTAGCGGTTACTTGACAAAGTGGTACCGAAAGCCAAGTAACAAGAACATCCTCGTTCATTTGCTTTCTTCCCACCCTTCACGCAAAAAGAGGGCGATTGTGTGAAACATGTCTCGAACAGCCACCTCTGTGTGCACTACCAGGGAACTAAAGGAAGAACCGAGCGACTTGGCTCGGCAAATAGCCATCTCAAATGGCTACGAAATAGCAACCCCACGAGATAAGTTTAGAAGGGGAACGACGCGCTCACGCGAAACACTTGGCCAAAAGAAAGTCCCGTTTATGTTGCGTTTTATAAGCGATGAAGTAAGCGTAGCTATTAAACGATGCTTAAGAAAGTCAGGTCTAGAGGAATCGGTAGCGATAGTTGAAATACCACTGGCTACTCTACGTCGCCAGTTCGCAAAAGCCTGTATGACCGTCTGTCTGAAACAACAAATTGCGTAATTTGCCCTTACGGCAGGGACGGTGATTGCATGAGTTCAGGTACGATATACCTGATCTCTTGTAATAATTGCGGAGATGAATATATTGGCGAAACGGGCAGACATTTGTGTATCCGTATAAAAGAACACCTAGATGGCAAACAAAAACTAAGACGAGGCACTCCACTAGGCACGCATAGCATACAAAAGTATAGCGGAGACGATTTTGAAGTAAAAGTCAATATCCTTGCACAGGAATCCAAAACACCAGCGCGAAAACTCCTTGAAGCTTTTTGGATCAATGCCAAAAACCCTACAATGAATAGCAGGGATGAATGCCCGGAGGTTATACGCGACCTGATCCCGTATGTTTTGATGTGGGATGGTGCAGTTGTCAACCATATGCGACTATAACCAGCTGTTCTAAACTTCCTCATTGGAAGTCATGAAAAAGCGGTGGGTTTTTCGAGAGGTTGTTGATCATGTAATTACCGGAGAGTTTTTTGCCTTTCTGTAAGTGTTATTGAAGCGTTTGGCCTAGTAGATTGCATATCAGCATAGCATATTGAGAGCCCTTCCAGGCTCTGAATAAGGCGAGACTGCCGAAACGTCAGCTAGTGTTGTATTGCAATGTATATCTGGCCCTTTACAATGGTTCGTGGTGGCTTACCGATTTATCGAGCCAGTGCTGCTATCCTCCCAGAGAGGTGGGTACCGTTTAGCTGACCCGGTGAGATGGAGGTCTCCGTGGGTCAGGTGCGCGGGAGTGGTTCCCATGTGTATCGTAGGACACCGACCACTGCGCCAAACGCGTCCTCACCATAATTTCATACTGGGATTAAACCATAGTTTCCGTGTGTTCCGTATGAAATGCCCTATTAAGCTGGTCTGGATAAGGTGAAAACCATGTAAAAATTGTTTGCTAAGGCAGTGTTAAAATCGGACTCGCACAGGTTAAGTTTACACCTAGACGAGTATTAACAGGTATGAAAGGACATAACCGAAATGGGCCAAGAAATTAGAAGACTACCAACTACTACTGACTACAACTACTGACTTTTGCCTTGTACTCGTTCTAAGTACACGAAAACTCTGAACCCACTTTTTACAGCCAGTTTTAATTTCACTTATCAGTGTTTTCTGACATTTTTTATAGAAAACAAACAATCATTAGTGCGAACTATATTTTACATCTCTATATGTACAGCTAAGAAAGGTCAGCAACTGTCGGATCAGAGTGTAGCCAAGAAGAGCCACTAGTTCATTTGTTCACGTTTGGACTCCTTTACCTGAAATGGGTAAGCTAGAATTTTTCAGTATGTGTGGAATGGAAACAGCTAAAACGCGCCCATTTTGCTTCAGAAGTTTTCGCAGTTTTATGGGCTTGATCTCGAGCGTTTTCGCAGGCAGCGACTTCACCTTTTGCAAGTTCATCGACATTCGCTCGATACTCATAAAACTTCTGTCTGAAAAGTGAAGTGAGCAATATATAGAAATTTGGATCAGAACCAAGAAGTTGTATTGAGTGTGAGCTAAGTATCATTCCTTGTAGGAATGAGCAAGTACTCTCTCGTGACTATTAACTTTGTACTTTTATACGTTTCTAAAAAAACGTGTTTCTTTTCGTCTATAGAGGAAAACCCTATCTTCACTTATCCACTCCAAGCTGTGGAAAAAGAGTTTCTAACCAAGAGCGATTTAATTCCTCGTCCTAACTCAAGATGTAAAACAGTGCTGACCGACTGAAGAGAGTTCTGGTTGTGAAGTGCATCCGTTTTCAAAGTAAAGGTGATTCTTGGTATCAGAAAGCTCGAAGCTAGTTGGAGCAGATAGAGAATCCTCCTCGTTCAGAGAGCACACACCTTCCAGGGTGGCGAACACTGCCGACTGCAATCTTTGATTACTGTTTATCAATAATAATAACAAGAGTGCTAAAGTGATGGTGGAATATTGAAACTATAATTATAGAGTGCTGATGTATAGCACTTGCAAAAATGAGTGATGGACTGGAATCGGATGAGGAAGTCTAGTGTAGCAGAGCAGGAAAAATAGCACAGAAAAATACTAGCACGTCCCTACACACAGAACACGCTTACGCTTATAACACTGATGACCCATCGTTTGGTAAGGTGTTCATTATTTCGAAAAATAGAGCTGAAGGTTTCAAAAAGTGCCCAGTTTAAAACAGAATTCTAATTATGGTTCCCACTTGTAAAAGTCATTAGTCTTAGTATTTTGCAATAAAAAACAAATATTTGAATTCAACATGCTGTCCACCTTGCATGCATATTCACTACTGAGGACGCAAAGCTCAACGCAGAGTTTCAGACCGTCGTAACCCACCGGCAATCCATAGAATATCTCTCTGGGTTCAACCTGAATTGTGAGATATGTTTACGTAGTCTTCCAACAAAGTTCTTCCTTTGTTTTACCTTAACAGTATAATCCCTGAATGCAACGAAGTCCGAGCAATTGTGATATGGAGAAATGTTATCTGAAGATGACCAATGAGTTCACATTGTCAAGTTCATCGCCGGGATATAATTCTAGCCGAGACAGTACACCTACGGTCCTTATAACCTTGAACTGCAATCGTTAAGTGAAAACCAAACCAAACAAGAATTTTGAAACGGCGGGAAAATTTTCTCATGTTATCAATTGTATAGTCTGCTCAATAAAAATTATATATTCATTTCGTCTTTATTGTTTTTGATTTATGCATATGCCAACTTTATAACTGTCAGGTTTCCTAAGACCGAGTTTCTGTTAGCCTCGGCATTGATTGATAATTCGATGCTTTTGTTCAAGAAGCGAACGCGAGGTTGTTATTATAGAATTCATTAGGATACAATAGCTGACGTTTCGGCGGTTTCGCCTTCCTCAAAGCCTGGAAAGGTCAAATTGAGATGCGATCTATTCAGCCCAACACTTTCAAAACCCTAGCAGATAAGACTTAAACAAATTTGCATTCGCATAAGAAACAGCTTCATTTAAACACCTACCGCTTATTTGTTGTAATTATTTAAGTTATTTGATGGATAGCAGCCGCACAGAGTAATACATGGGCGAGGACTGTGCCTGTGTCAGGTCATTGGATCAGTCAGAGGTACGGCGCCAGGTCACGCATGATGACAAGACGCTCCT